AGGAAGAAATAACCTACTTAAAGAGAGGCTTAGGTGAGTCTGTGTAGCTACCCAGAGGAGGGTGTGAAAGCTGCAGACCCCCAGCCTGCTGGTCGCTGAGGTGCAGAGGCCTTCCTATCTACCTCTTAAAGGGACCCAATTCTCCCAATCTAATCCATCAAATGCCCCCCAACCACTACACCCTTGCCTACACCCAGAAGCATTTATGATCTTCTCTTTGTCTCCACCAACTTTGAAGCTTCACTATGATGTGTCACAGAGTAGATCTATCTTCGTTCTTTGCTCCTGGAAGTTTATATTCAAGTTTTTTTCCAGAGGGCTTATGTGGATAATAATACCAAATCTTTAAAAATGTTTGTTATTTTTATACTTACATGACTGTTTGGCTGGTTTCAAGTGTGATAAAAAACGTAACTTTAAATTTGTATCCTAGCCATTTTAAGTATACAATTTAGCAGTACTATCTTCACATTGCACTACCATCTGGCAAGAACTCTGCATTGAATGTTAATTGTCCCTCCCCCAGACCCCTGATGACCATCTTTCTACTTTCTACCTGATTTCTGAGTTTTCCTACTTTAGAAACCTTATATGATTGCAGTCCCACAGGTTCATCAATGTAGCACAAAAAAAGGTTTTCTTCTGTTCGAAGGCCACAGAACATTCCACTGTACATATGGCCTACATTTCCTTATCCATTCACCGGGTGATGGACCCTGTCATAATGCTGCAATGAATGTAGGCATGCACGTATGTTTTTTTGAGTTCCTACTTTAAACTCTTGGATTTAAACTTGGAAGTGAATTATTGAATCATGTGGTATTTCTATTTTGACTTCTTAAGGACTCTCTATACTGTTCTCTCTCTTTTTTTTTTTTTTTTTTCTGTTTTCTTTACTTCTGGGGACCAAACTCAGAACTTCACACTTGCTGGGCAGCACTGCGCCACTGAGCAATATCTCTGGCCCTCTATACTGTCTTCCATAATGGCTGCACCATTTTGCATTACTAAGAGGACACAAGAGCTCCAGTTTCTCCCCATTGTCACCAATACTTTGTTTTTATGTTCTTTTGATAGTGTTCATCCTAATGAGATGGGTGAATTGCTTTTTTCTTGAGATTTTTGAAGGAATTGCTCAACCTTCTCAAGGGAATTGAATTTGTCCTGACTCTTCTGTTTGTGAACTGAGTATTTTCTTTTTGTCTGCTTCCCCACAAAACTTACTTATTTTTAAAACCAGTAACTGGACTGAGGATTTAGCTCCATAGTGTAGCACCTGCCTGATAAGCATGAAGTCCTAAGTTTGATTCCTGGTGCCCAAAAATAAATAAATAAAATCTTATACCTTTTAGTAATATACATCCTGGAATTTATTTTTTAATTAAATTAAATTTATTTTAACTGATATATAAAGACATCAACATTGTACATATTAATAAGGCTTCACACGATGTTTTGATACATGTGCATATGGTGTTATGTTTAGGTTAGGCATATTATCTCTTCAAACATTTGTTATTTGTTTATGGTGAAAACATTCAAAATCTTTTCTTTAGCTTTTCATAATATAAGGCTCAGTCTCCTTGCCTGTAGTTACCGCTGTGCTCTAGCACAGTGGAACTTCTTATTCCTGCCTAACTGTGTCTTGGAACCCATTAATCACCTTCTTACTGGGCTCCTCCCTGCTGCTCCTCTCAGCCTCTGGTAACCAGCATTTTACTCTCAGTTTCCATGAGATCGGCTTTTCAGATTCCATGCAATTCTCGTCTTTCTGTGCCTGGTTTATTTCACTGACTTTCAGTTTCATCTACATGCTTGCAAATGACGGTGTTGCAGGAGTTTCGCACAGACAGGACATGAGGTCTTTTTCCTAGGAAGCAACTTAATTTGTGCTGGCACTGACTCAGCAGCTTCATATCCAAAGGCTGGCTGAGTGCCCAGAATAGTATAGTTGTACCCTTTTATACAGTTTTTGTGTCTTTGTCCCCTTGTACTGGCATGTACTAACATTTTACAGTGTGGTTGGATATGATGTTACGTTACAGAGTTACATCAGAACTACAGATGCTACACAGAGGCTGATATTTCTAGGTTGTAAAAAATTCTTACTGTGACCTATCGGGAGGAGCCCTATCACAATAGGATTTCATTTTGTTTGGTGTATGATATAGTATTCTAATCACCACATCACCATGTTTTCTTTGTCTATTCATCAGTCGCCATGGTTCCCATTTCTTGGCTATTGTGAACATGCTAACGTAAACCAGAGTACAGATGTCTCTTTGATATACTGAATTCCCTTCCTTTGAGCGTATTTATACCTAGTAATGGAATTGCTTGATCATATTTTAAATTTTTTTTGTCTTTTTCATTTTTATCGGTACCGGGGATCAAACTCATGACTGCCTGTTTGCAAGGCAGGTGCTTATACCGCTGAGCTAAATCCCCAGCCCCCATGTTTTAAGTTTTTGAGGAAATTCCGTCCTGTTTTTCATAATGGCTGTGCTAATTTGCAAGGTTCCCTTTTCTCCACATCCTCACCAACACTTGTTTTCTTTTGTCTTTTTGGTCATAGCCATTCTTACTGAGGTAAGGTGATATTGTGGCTTTACTTACACTTCCCTAGAAGTTAATGATATCCATAACTTCTTACACACTTTGTTAGCCATTCATATCTCTTCTTTTGTGAATATCTATTTAAGTGTGTAGTTCATTTTTAAATTGAGTTATTTGGTTTTTGCTGTTGAGTTTTTAGAGACCCTAAAATATTCTGGATATTGACCCCTTATCAGATATATAGTTCACAAATATTGCCCCCACCCCACTTTTTTTTTTGTACCCAGAATCCAACTCACAACTTTGCACTTGCTGGGCATGTGCTGTGCCAGTGACCTATATCCCCAGCCTTTCCCCCCCATTTTTAGGCTCTCTCTTCACTTTGGCTACTGTTTCCTTTGCAGTACAGAAATTTTTTAGTTTTATGTAATTTCATTCATCTATCTTTGCTTTTGTTTCCTGTGATTTTTCAGATTTTATGAAAAAAATTCTTGTAAATTTAAGTGTCCTGAATAATTTTTCTTAAATTCTGGTCTAGTAGTTTCATAGTTTTAGGCCTTACATTTATGTCTTTAACCCATTTTGAATGGAATTTAGCCACTGGTAAGAGACAGGGTTCTAGTTTCATTCTTTTATATGTGGGTATCCAATTTTCCCAGCATCATTTATTGAAAAAACTGTCCTTTCTCCAGTGTGTTTTCCTAGCATCTTTGTCAAAAACCAGTTGATGCATGGATTTATTTCCAGACTCTGGAAAAACAAGTTCTGTTGGTCTATGTATCTGTGTTTTTATGCCAGCACCCGGCTGTGTGGATTTCTAGAGTTGTAGTATATTTAAAATGAGGTGGTATAATTCTTCCTGCTATGCTCTTTTTGCTCAAGAAGATTGGCTCTCTCTGTCTCTCTGTCTGTCTCTCTGTTTCTGACTCTGTCTCTGTCTCTCTGTCTCTGTCTCTGTCTCTGTCTCTGTCTCTGTGTGTGTGTGTGTGTGTGTGTGTGTGTGTGTGTGGTTCCATACAATTTTAGGACAGATCTATAAAAAAATGCCATTGATTTTTTTCATAGGGGGTTGCATTGATTCTATACTGGAGTTGATTTTTATTTTTCTTGCTCCAGGTCTTCTTTTAAACTTTGTTTTCTTGGTATCTGATTCATGTTTTCTCTATATAGATCCAAGTCTTTATTTTCTAGAAAGATGTTTTGAGTTGTATCTTTAATGATCTTTCTATCTTCCATGCCCCAGTTTTCTTTTGAACATTCTATATTTTTCCTGTCTTCCATGTCTACTGCTTTCTTCCTAATTCTAGTTTTTAAAATTATTGCATAGTCTCCTGTTGTTTCCAATTTTGCTTTCATTTCTGGAGCACGTTTATTTTTTCCCCCTCATTTCATTTTTGAGCTCTGCCAACTCATGGCCCTTTCTTCTTAGGAGTCTCACCACTGAATTCCTGACCTCTTTTCCACTAGTCTACACTTCCATACATTTTTATAAGTGATAGTGAAACTCCTGGGCCCTGCTCTGCACTGCTCTGGTAGCTTCTCCCTTCCGGGGAGGTGAGCTTCCCCCCCCCTGTGGAGACCCATGGAGTATCTTGGGCTGCTCCTAGCGTCTAGATCAAGAGCAGGTCCTCGTGGAGTTGGTGCCTCATTGGAGCTGGCAGAAACCTTGCATCTGGGTTTTTAGCTCATACTTCTCCCTGCAGTAGATTTGGGCAGTGTAAGGCTCTTCACAGGCATAAGAGTCCCTATGCCTATCTCACAGGGAGACCATCTTTTCACATACAGTTTATCTGTTCCTTAGAACAGATGCTGCCCCGGAACTGTACTCCCTGATGTTGTTGCTCCTGCTGGTGCAGCAAGGCAATCATGACACGATGTGCTCCACCTGGGGGGAAACTAACGTGGTGGGCTTTCCCTGGAATCTGCAGCCAGGGTCATCTTTTCAGCTTCCTTCTGCAATCTCCAGCAATCCTTCTGCCTACTCTATGGTTTCATCCTCTCCCTACTTTGCTGAAGAAGGAGCTTTGGATTTGCTTTTCTCTGCTTGCAGGCAACATCAAGAGGATGCAAGAGGAAAGTCTGGCTCTTATTGCCATGTTCAGCTCTGCCAAGCGCTCTTCTCTAAACTCTCTTTTCCACAGCCTTTGGAAGCAGCAGTTGAGTTTGAGGCGTATGGTGGCGGAGAGGCTTTTCTTTTGTGAGACAGGTGATAGGAAAGCCTGACTTCCTGTCCTTGCTGAGCTTATTGTCCCAGACAGCACAGAGACATGGCAATAGATTGCACAGGCAGTGTTTGGTACCTGCGTAGTGAGCAGTGCAGGTGACACACACAGAATCAGAGGAGAGGCAAGAGAGAGGGAGAGAGAAAAAAATGACCCGGGAGTTCTGAGTTGAAGGGGCAGGGAGAGCACAAATCAGACTATTGTCTCCCCTCTTCCCTCCAGGGTGACCACGTGTGGCTGAACCCTCCCTCTGCCAGTAAGACCAGCGTGGCCATCGGAGGCATCATCAAAGAAACAAAGCCAGGCAAGATCTTGGTTGAGGATGACGAGGGCAAGGTCAGTGTGGCAAGACTCTCCTCTTGGCCTCTTCCGCTGCCCCGCAACACCACGGGTTGCCAAGCCCTGGAGGAGGAGGGGCATCTGTGAGGCAGGCCAGGCTGTGGCAGAGTCCAGCCCTGGCACATGTTGTGTGTCTGTCTTGGAGATGTTTCCAGATTGCATTTCAGGGGAGCTAGGAGACAAAGGGAAACAGGAGGGAAGGGCTGTGGAGTGGAAGGCAGAAGCAGGTGTGCAGCAGGGAAGGAACTGGAAGAAAGGTGGTGAGAACAGTGGGCAGGGGACACACAATGAGGGGTGGCAGCTCAGCCTCCTGGGGGGACAGGATAGCCCCATGGAGAGGGGAGGCCAGGGCTGCAGGGAGAGCATCCACTGCCCTCCTGCCCAGCCCAGGGCTGCAAAACAAGGCACTTGCAGGCAAGGTCTTCCAGGAAAATGTTCTACACTGTGGTTAGAAACAGCAATATCTTCTATTTGGATGATGCTGTACAGTTTTTCAAAAAATGTTTTTACTTGCATGCTTTTATTCTAACAACTGGTGTGGCCCTCACTGCAAGCTGACCATTAAATCTAATTTCCAGCTACTATGTAGCTCTCCTTCCTCAGCCTGAAGTTCAATCCTAGTCCCTGCTGCACATGGACCCCAGACCCTAAACAAATGCTGACATAGCCATAGATGGCCCTGGTTTTGCCACAGGTGCCCCTGGACCTAAACCACAGACTGACTCTGGCAAGAGACTGGCCACCACACCTTGGTCAGCCTGTCTGTACATTGCAAAGGACCTGGAGGACACAGGTGCCGGGGGCCAATGGGGTGGCTATCCCTGAAATGAGTCTGTGCCTGTCATTCCAGGAGCACTGGATCAAAGCAGAGGACCTTGGTGCCCTCAGCCCCATGCATCCCAACTCAATTCAGGGTGTGGATGACATGATCTGCTTGGGAGACTTGCACGAGGCGGGTATTGTGCACAACCTTCTGATCCGCTACCAGCAGCATAAGATCTATGTGAGTCCCCCTACCTTGTGTCCACAGGGAGCCCCCACAGGCAGAAAAAAGCAATGCGCCAGAGGGTGTGGAGCCAGGCACTGCTCTTCCTCAGTCCTCATGGTTTTAGAGAAGCCCAGTCATAACCTTTCTCAACCTCTGGTCCCCATCCAAAAGGAGCGGGAAGGCACACCCTTGAGGATGAGGTTATGCCTGGTGAAGCGTGCTGCCTGGCACACAGAAGGTGCTCAGTGGCACACAGAAGGTGCTTCCCTCCCTCTCCCTGTCTGTGGCTGAACAGAATACTTATTCTGACCAGTAAGGTGCATGCCAGGGGACCCTTGCCTGCCAGAGAGGAGACCTGTGAAGTTGGAATTGCAGAGACCCACCTACCACTTTTGGAGGGCCGCCTGGGTAAATGGGGGCTCCTCTCCCAAGCCTGGCAGTAGATGCAGGTCCACCCCACCCCAAGGTACTCAAATCAGAACCCTGGGAGAGATGGTGTTTCAGAAACCAACACCATCTGCAGACCCAAGTGAGTGTGCCCCAAGGAAGTCACTTCCTGCCTGGGCCTTTTGCATGTCTGGAAAGGTGGCTAGTTACATTCTAATCAGCCTTTCTGGACTGCACAGAGGAGTCCAGGAGTGAGCTGGAGACTTCAAACAAAAGAGTACCACAGAGGAAAAGAAGGAACCCCTAGGAGGGCAGAACAACTTGCTCTGCTCTGGCTGAATGTGGGTGAGAACACCTGGAACTGATTCTCACAGCACTAAGCTAAGCTGAATTGTAGCTCGCCCTTTCCAAAGTGCCCACGTGCATCCCTGTTCTGGTCCTCGTGGCCTTGAAGGCAGAGGATGGGTATTCCAGCTGGGCCCCACGGGGATCCTGAAGAGCAGATAGTTCTGGGCTGAACTCTCAGGAGAGGGGTTTGGCCCCAGGGCCTGGGGCACAGAAGATGAGTTTGGACAATGAGGGCTGCTGACCAGCCTTTGGGGAGGCTCCTGCTTGAGGCTAGTAAAACTCGAGCCATCTTCTGACATAGAGTCAGAGCTCACTTTGTCACCAGAGCTAAGGATCCTGGGGGTTCTCATGGGGTCGCACCCAAGGCCTGGCCAGTGCCCCCATTCTTTCCAACTCTTCCTTCCCCAGACATACACAGGATCCATCCTGGTGGCAGTGAACCCATTCCAGCTGCTGCCGCTGTACACCCTGGAACAGGTACAGCTCTACTATGGCCGCCATGTGGGAGAGCTGCCCCCACACGTCTTTGCCATCGCAAACAGCTGCTACTTTAACCTGAGGAAGAACAAGCAGGACCAATGCTGTGTCATCAGGTGGGGCTCAGATGCCCTCATTTCTGGGGGTGGGCATTGCCTCTGAGCACCGGAGGGAGGTGTGAGCATCTCCTTTCCCTAAACCTCTCATGGTCAGCAATGACTGTGAGGCTGGTTGGTGTAGGGGCTCATCTGATTCAGCTACCAACACTCTTCTCAAGGGTGCCCACTGTGCTGCCCCTCTCCCCTGCCCCTGAGGCAATGTCCTTCTAAAGCTCCAAAGCTTGCGTCCTGCAGAGCCCAGCCATGCATAGACTCCCTAGGGCTTGGACTCCCCAGCTGTTGGGGAAAGAAGGCAGGTTGGCTGTTTTAGATGGGCCCTGGAGGTATACTTGGAGACACAGGGGTCAAAGAGATGAGCCTCCCTCCCCCAACCTCAGGGCAGCCCCAGGTGAGGACAGGTGGCAGCAGTTTTAAGAGCAGCCATCAGTCTGCCTAGTGGCCTGGCCTGGCCTACAACCACAGCCCCTCTTGCTGCCAAGAGAAGGGAATTTTAGAGGATAGGGAAGTTGCCCTGGCTCCAGAGCACCTGACTTGGTGCTGAGTAGTTGTTCATGTGTTCCTTTTTCTTCACTCACTGGCCCAAGATGTAACAGAGACCCGCTGTGCTCCTCCTTGGATAACAGCAGCAAACACAAGGAACCAAAAGCTCTGTCTCGTGGCGCTCCTATTCTGGAAGGGGAAATGGGCAGACAATAAATGTATACTTTTATGCAGATACTAAGAGCTTTGACAAACACATGGCAGGAGGAGAAGTGGGGCAGCTGCTTTAAGTGGAGAGAGGACCAGGCACAGTCTCCCTTCGTGCAGACATTGTTTTGAACAGAAACCACATTGATGTCCTGTAGCATAGGTGGCCACCTATTGTCCTCTACCACTCACTGAAGCAGATTTTTTTTTTGGTACTGAGTATTGAACTCACGACCTTGAGCTTGTCAGGCAGGCACTTACACCACTGAGCCAAATCCCTGGCCCTGAAGCAGATACTTTTATTCTCATGGTACAGCGGGGAATGCTACAATGGGAGAAGTGGGGATGCTTTCCTAGGGACACACAGCAGTGAAGCCGGGTACTCAAACTCAGGGCTCTGGAGATGAAGGCAGAAAGGTGCCCTGGCACAGAGTTGTCCCAGTGTGTCTCCCAAAACAGAGGTAGCTTTCTTGACACAAGAAACCTCTCAAGCCAATTGGGAGCACAGGCCGGCCAGCCAGAAACTCACAGGGCCAGACTACACCAGAGGCAGCAGCGTTGAAGGAGACCACATCCCCAGAGGGGGAGCTGCAGGGCCTGGTGCCCTGCAGTGAATGAGGCATCACTTTGAGTAGTTACCCCGGGTTCAGAGGACCATTGAGCTGAGAGTTTGAGACCAGCCCAGACAATGCACACAAAGCCTATCTCAAAACCAAAGGAAAAATAATTTTAAACATGGGCTTGGGAGAGAATTTTCAAACCATAGTTTGAAACCCCCTAAGGGGGTCCTTTGATGCAGTCGTAACAGGAATCAGTAACCAGGCCAAGAAGGATGAAAACACAGGCAAACATTATAACTGAAAAGAAAGAGCAAATGGGGAAGAGACTTCAGTTTGCAGAGAAGAGCTGAGGGGTACAGCTGTGATGGAGAAGATGGTCTGGCCCGTTGACAAAGCACAGGAGCCAGCTTTTAGGGCATTGCTGGGATGGCCAGGGGCTGGATGGTCTTTTATTTATTTATTTATTTATTTCGTTAGTTAGTTAGTGTGGAGGAGGCTCATCTTTTTTTAAAAATTTTTTCTCATTAGTACATTTTTGCCATACATAATGTTCATATTCATCATAGGGAATTTGTATCTGTACAATTATATTTAAATTCTTCTTTTTTCTAATTACTCATCTCCTCCCTTCAAGTTTCCCCCCCCCCATTTACAGAAGCTTCATTTCTATTTTTTCTTCCATTCTGTTTTGTAGTCCCTTTTCCCTTTCTTCCCTTTCCCCTGCCCACTCCCATTTGAACATGTTCTTCCTCCTTCCCAATAGCTCTCCTCATTTTGCTCCTTCTTTACCCTTAGGTTTCTCACACAAGAGGAACAATGTGATATTTAAATGTGTGTCTGATTTATTTCACTTAAAATTATGGTCTTGAGGTACATTCATGCATCCACAAATGACTTGAGTTTATCGTTCTTTGTGGCAAGGTAATACTCTGTTGTATACAAATACCACATTTTCTTTTTCTTTCTTTTTTTTTCACTACCAGAGTCAGTATTGAATACCACATTTTCTTTATCCATTCATCTTTTGATGGGCATATGGGCTGTTTCTAAGATTTAGCTATTATAAATTATGCTGCTAGAAACATGGATATGTATATATCACTGTGGTATGATGCTTTTAACTTTCTCAGGAATATACCAAGAAGGAGAATAGCTGGGTCAAATAAAAACTCTAGTTTTAGCTTTTGAGGAAACTGCACACTGATTTCCACAGTGGTTGCACCAATCTATACTAGCACCAATACTGATGAACTATTTCTTTTTACCCAACACCTCACCAGCAACTGTATTTGATTGATTTCCTGATGATGGTTATTCTTTCTGGAGTGAAATGAAATCTCAGTATTGTTTTAATCTGCATTTCTCAAATGACCAGTGATGTTGAACTTTTTTTTTTGTCTTTTTGACTCAGGGTCTTGCTAGGCAGTTCAGATTGACCTTGAGCTCACTTTGTAGCCCAACCTGGTCTTGAACTTGCAATAATTCTCCTGTGTCAACCTGCCACCATACCTGGCTGTTGAACATTTTTGATATATTTATTGCTGTTTGTATTTCTTCATCTGAGAAGTGTCTATTGATGCTCATTTTTGAGTTGGCTCTTTTAATTTTAAGGGTCTTTTAAAAAATTCTTTATATATTCTAGATAATAATTCTTTTTCTGAGGAGTAACTGGCAAAATATTTTTCCATTCTATAGGTTGTCTCTTCATTATATTGGTGGTTTCTCTTGCTCTGCTAAAGCTTGTGTGTGGATGTTTCTTTTTTTTTTTTCCGAAATCCATTTTATTTCAAGAACAAAACGAAAGAAAAAAACTACAACAAAATTTCAAAACACATCAATCAGGGGCAGCAGTGGTACATACACTGCACATTGTCATCCCAAAATCATTTACCCAGAGCATTTAATTGCCCAGACAATACTAGCACAAATCTTTCTCTTCAGTGGACTCAGAGAAATCAGTAGTGTAACTATCTTAACTATTTTTATATACATACACATATACTTGTGTTGTTTGTCTCAGCTTTTTGCACTAATGAGTCAATACGATGTTTACATGTGTGTCTTATTTCATTAATCAGTGTAATCTCTAGTTGCATTCATATAGCTGTAAAAGTCTCCAGTTTATCCTTTTTTAGGGCTGAGTAGTACTACATTGTATAAAAATATCACTTTTTTTATTTATTCCTTAGTTGATGAGCATTTAGGTTGCTTCTAAGATCTAGCTATTACAAATTGTGCTGCTAATACCATGGAGGCACATACATTGCTATGGTATGATGTTTTTAATTCTTCTGGGATGATACCCAGCAGGGGAAACACTGGGTCAAACCAGCCCTGGTTTGTTTGGTTTTTTTTTTTATTGTTCGGTTCCAGGGATAAAACTCATGACCTTGTACTTCCCAGGCAGGCATGTAAGCCGCTGAGCTAAATCCCTGGCTTACCAGTCCTAGTTTTTTGAGGAATCTGCACACTATTTTCCACAGTGGTTGCACCAGTCTGCATTTCCATGAACAGTGGAGAAGGGTTCCTTTTTCTCCACACCCCCTCCAGCATTTTTGATAGTATTGCTTGATGTTTTGATAATAGCCATTCTTTGTGGGGTGAGGTGGAATCTCAGTGTTGTTTTAATTTGCATCTCTTGAATGACTAGTGATGTTGAACTTTTTTGCATATTTATTTGCTGTTCGTATTTCTTGATCAGAGAAGTATATATTTATCTCAGATGTCCATTTTTGGATTGGGTCTTTAAATTTGGCAAGACTGATTTATTTCTGTATTCTTTATATGTTCTCAACAGTAATCCTTTTTCTAAGGTACTGCCAACAAACATTTTCTCCCATGTTATGGGTTGTTCATTCTGGGTTTCTCTTGCTCTGTAAAAGCTTTTTAGTAAGATGAGACCCTGGTTGTTGATTCTCTGTAATAGTGCCTGTGCAACTGGGTTTTGTTCATAAAGTTTTTGCCTACACCTACATTTTCAAGAGTTTTACCCACTCTATCTTCCAAAAGTTTTGTTTCTGTTTTACTATTTAGATTTTTTATCTATTCTGAATTTGATTTCGTGCATGGTGAGAGATATGGGTCCAACTTTAATCTTCAACATGTGCAGAGCCAGTTTTTCTAGCCCTGTTTATTAAAGAGGCTGTCTTTCTTCCAGTGAATGTGTTTGGCACCTAAGATAAGATAGCTTAGTGTCTCTGGAGTTTCTGCATCTTCTAATCTGTTCCATTGGTCTTTGAATGTTTATTTTTTGCCAGTACCACACGGTTTTTATCACAGTAGATTTATAGTACAATTTCAAGTCAAGGATTGTGACACCCCCTGCCTTGTCTTTGTGGCCCAAGACTGCCTTTGCTCCTCTAGATCTCTTTCATATATGTGCTGCCAAAGTGAGCACTCTGTTTCCCGGTTGCAGATGAATTTTAGGACTGTTTTCTCTAATTCTGTGATATACGCTATTGGAATTTTGATTGGGATTGCATTGAATCTGTATAACACTTTTGGAAATATGGCCATTTTAACTATATTGGTTCTTTTTACCCAAAAGCATGGTATCCCCCTCCATTTTCTAATATCCTCTTCGATCTCCTTTTTCAGAGTAGTTTCCAATGTAGCGGTCTTTTACATCCTTCATTAAATTGATTCTTAGATACTTCTTCTCCTTCTCCTTCTCCTTCTCCTTCTCCTTCTCCTTCTCCTTCTCCTTCTCCTTCTCCTTCTCCTCCTTCTCCTTCTCCTTCTCCTTCTCCT